ATGTGCCCTTTGTAGATCAGTGTGGAAATTGTCTTATTCCATTTTATTCAACTTGAGATGAAGACAGCATGGACCATCCACGTACCACAGGTAGGATGATGTATGCCCGACAGCTGCCATCTGGTTTTGGACTGGAGTTGACCTGCTGGGTATGGTCTGATGTGTCCTAGCCACTGTACATATCCATTTTAGCTTTCCCCACCTTCCTGTTCATGGATGAAAATCCTGCAATCACTTGTATGGTTTGGGTTTGAACCCGCCCAGTTTTCTATCCTTCTTTGAATGTTCTCCTTACATACAGGGCAAAGAGTATATATATCTGGTACAGAAGTAGTCTTTCACATGTGTACCTCTCCAAACGGGGGGTTCCCACTTTTTGGGTGTTCTTCAGATGCTTTCGAAAAATACTTATCTCCATCCTTCGCACTGGTCCTTCTACCGGATCAATGTGGGATTATAGCTATATATTTATATGAGGAGATAAGATACTGTATCGGAAGTTATAGTTTTCCTATACTGAAAATTTATTTCCGATAGGTACGTACCTCCTAATCTCGAAGTGATAGTTAGGTAGAATCGAATAGGGGGAGTCACATACTTCAGGAGACAGTGTCGCACTCCTATTGGTACAGGGTTGTTGCATGATGATTTACATGCGAAAATGCCATGAACCACGTGGATCGTGGTAGTTTAAAGGATTGTGACATGCGAAAATGTTTTGCATATAGAGAACCTGTCGAAAATAAATTTTCACTGTAGGAAAATTATAACTTGTGTTTAGTGTGTGCCCATATTACGAATGTATTATCAACACATTTGAACCATGTCCTGGGGCTTAGTGTAGGCTGATTTGAGGAAGTTATCTTCTAAATGTTCCATGTAGATGTTACTGAATACTGGTGACATGGAACCCATATCTAGACTTTTGTGTGGATAGTATTTATCTCTATGTTGGAAGTAGTTATGTTGATACAGAAGGTTGCAAGTTCTATTGTTGTGGAGATTGTCTGTTGGGTGAATTTCTTATTTTCAAAGAGTTTGTTGTGTTTCAGAAGTTGGTGCGTAAGGTAATAGGTTGGAAACATCAAAGGCAATCAATATGTCTCATAAAGTTATTGTGGTTGCTCTTATAATCCTTACAAACCGAGTTCTTAACCTGAGGATGTTTTACCTGTTAATGATGTATCTACAAAATACCTAGCTAAGGCATGATGTGGTGAATCTGTAGTGAACTACGAGATGGAAATATGCTTACTCATGAACTTTAACTTCATGGTCCTGTTTCTAATGTTGTTAGATGTACGTTTCTGTTTCAAGTGCCTTTTCGATGTTTCTTGTGTAATTATTATTTTTTTCTCTGTGCTATACTTAGGTGATCGTATAGGCTACTAACCATGTTCTTGTTTGTTTGAATTTATACACGATGTGCTATCTGTGCTCTGGCCACCACGGGTATCGAAACCCGGTTTCTAGCGTTGTAAGAACATACCGCTGTGCCACTAGGGGCACCATGTTCTTATCTGATTTGTACAACTTTACCATAAGTACTTAAAATGTTGTTTTGGGGAGATTTTTCCAATTACTTGTGCACATTTTTCTGACTCAAAAGACTCGCAGTTTAGCTGTAAGGTTAAAAATGACCTAGTTGGTCACTTCAAAACATCAGAAGAGATCTTAGGGGATGTCTCAAATTATGTGACATTTCTTCCAAGCTACTTTTGTGTAAAGAAACGCTTACCCAACACCAGTAGATGTAACAATCCAACAAACCTAAGAGACCATCACAGAATCTCTCCCTGCTGTGCCAATGCCTAAGACCATGCGATTGCAGGGCAGCATGCCCTCTACTTCCTTCACGGGCTTCCCTCAATCGTCTGGATTTTGTAGCAGAATGCCATGTCCAGTATGTGTTGTTCATGCAAGTACAGACCCTAAATCTGAACTTTTGTCAGTAGTTTCTGAAGTACTGGACCTTAAAAGGATAACCAAGCGCAAGAAAGAATTTAACTATTCTACCTGAATAAAAGTAAATGTTCTAGCTATGGTAAATTACTGGTGGTTTTCACCCAACCCCTACATTTCAGACACACACACACACAAAGGAACTAAATTCTAGCTACACAATCTACTTCATTATATATAAACACACACACACGACTTTAATACTTTTAAATGGTATATATTAAACTTGTTATTGTACTAAACAGCGTTTCAGAGCTTTACAAAATAATCAAAAAATGGCGCCCTCTAGAGGACTAACATGATAAATCCAGTAGATGTATAATACAGTTTCAACATTAAAACATCGACTGCTATGTAAACGTAGTAGGTTAGAACGTGTAACTATAAAATGTTTTAGCTGTGTGACTGAACTAACAATTTCATAATTACACCGTTTTTTCTTCTTAAGTTAATACGATTGTTTAGTTATTTAATAACCAAATTGAGATATTCCTCATGTATTTAGCATAATTATCTCGATGCTGATAGACATCGGTTTCTAAAAGAGGCAAGCATTATATTAGTTACAGACTTACGACAGCAGTAAAACCATGTTACAATAAGCACGTCAATTATACTTTGTAAGTTAACAGGTTTTTAACAACGCTGTGTTTACTGATGTTTACTAGGGTATACTTGTCCCACGTGAACCGAATATATTTGGCTACACGATCTAACAAGTCCACCATAAAGTGTAGAAAATGCCAGCAATAGCAACGTTCGATGTAGCTGGCGTTTGAATCTGCATTTCGAAAACCTATTAGGCCTAGGCCCCATGTTAGGTGTAAGCGTAAAATAATCATACAACTAAATATCTTAGTGTAATAACAGAGATCGAGTATTTTACGATACGATAATATCCACACCAATTTAAATGGATATTTTGAAATATATCCGATTTACTTCGTACTCGCAGGTCCAGTTTCGTTAAGTAAACATCAAGGTTCGTATCGAGTGACACTCGCAGATCTAGTCCAACGAAAACTACATATAACACAAAGAAACTTTTTAGTGTTGCTTGTATGGTTTGAACGGAGCTTATCCTTTAAAATATATCACTGTGCGGACATCATTCTAAGTTCCTCTTAACAGAAATTATTTAAAACTATTTTCCTGTGTATCATCGTTGTCTAGCCTAAGACTATTACTCTAGTGATTTCTGTAATGGTTTATTATTTTAACCAATTAAATATCTGTAAAGTTCAATACCAGTTCCGATATAAAGTATCTTTTAAAACTGGCAACGTTCTGAGCGGTAGTGTATTTTTAATTACATTACGAAGAGAGTTTATAACAACATAAACAAATTACGATATTATTAAACCTGTTATTTTTTTTAGATGGTACTAGCATTGAATACGTAACAGTTATTAATTCTTTTCATTTTTTTTAATAATCTAAATTCCCCTACCCGTTGAACTTACATTTTGTATTCATATGACCTTTATACTGAGATAATTTTTAAATTCTAATAAAATAAAGATCGGTAGTTGATAACAGTTTATTACTTGGGGTATACTTTTCCATGAAACATATTGCAACATATTTCAAGACTAAGGGTTACTCGTTTGTAAATATTGTGTTAGATATTAGTTTAATTTCCATTATTTTATATTTCTTATCCCTTTTTTTTAGTTGTCAAGTGTTTGAATTCTAGGTAGTCCATTTGAAATTCATCGGTGGTGAATAGGAAGACGTGCTGATCTATATGCTTAGTGCTTAGTTTAAAATTAAATACTGGTACAGTTCAGAGAAAAGAAAACACTTGTGAATTAATGGTTTCTAACATTTTGGTTTGAACTTGTAACCCTGATCGTAAAGGCAATTGTAATTTCACAAGTACTGTTTAAATTACTAAACAAATTTTTTACATTGTTTGAATAAACTACATAAATCTCAATTGTTTTCTTCATTTCTTTATTTTTACTATTTATCTTTCAGTTTCTAACTATATCTTTATGATAAACTACAAGCATTACAGTTAGGTAATTTATCAAGAATACATAAATGTATAAACAAGTACAATAAGCATCAAAACCAATGTACTTTATAAATCAATTATGAAAATACAAGATTTTTTTATATGCTCACTCTTCAATATGCCAATCCTAAATGATCAAATCAATAGAAATGTACAGATTTTTAGTTAGAACATACACAACAGAGATAACATCAGGGTCAATACTCCTGCAGACAGATATACAGTTTCTTAATTGGTTAATACAAATCAATTCAGCACATGACAACAGAGGTAAATATATGAATTACAATTCTGGGCTAATATTCCAAGTTAAGAAATACCAGTAATCTTTTGATTAAAATTAAAGAGCATTCAACTTATAAAAAAGTCAATCCAATATGTCATATTCATAATCCAAACTAAAAAACAAACAAACAAACTAGGTGGATATTTTAACCCATTGAGATTCAAACTAACCCCTGAATATAACAAATCAATTACTACTAAACTAGCTACTGTAACTGTGTTATATCTTTCATAAAACTGTTTTAATTCGCCAATGTGTTCTTTCATGAGAAAAAAACAATTTCAAACATGGAACATGATTCCTTAAAAATATTCTTGTTTGAAGATACTAATGAAAAGTAATAATGCTTATTATAATTTCTCTTAACCAAAAACATAAACATTTCATCTGACCATGTTAAATATTATTAAAAAATACATAACTTCGAGATTTTAATTTAAATATTCTGCAATAATTAGAATTTTGACATAACATGAAACGGATAAAAATGAATCTAAATGTAATATTTTAGATGGTGTTAACTTCAGAAAAACAACAACATTATATAATACAAAGAATATCACTAATACTACATCAACACACTCTTACACGTAGATTTAATTTTAAAAGCCAGCAATACAGTGTAACAAGTTTAAACTCTGTTTTGGGAGCCCAGTATAAACTTTTATTGATCTCTTACATGTGTTAAAACAATATAAAAGTTACCAATGATCACAGTACATCTTTGGCTGTTACAATAATTAACTTCAAAATTATTTTTCTAAAGTTATAAATATATAAATGAACTTAATATTTTTTCATGCTATTTTTGAATTACTTAAAGTATTAAAATATTTATTACAGCAATATCAAAAAAACAGTACTACAAGAATCTATATTTTAATTCTACAGTTGTGTTTCTAAAATCATTCCTCTAGTTTGATACAAGTTTTTATCCGTACACTTTTAGTTACCATACATTTATAACGTATATAGTTTTAAATTTGTACTAGCATACTACTCAACAGGTTTTAAAAAAATTCTTAATACTTACAAACAAAAATGAGCATCTTACGTTTGGAATTAATTATATATTTCTTCATTATTTGGTAAAATTAAGAATTCCGTCATGAATTTGGCCATAAGTTACATGTAAGAGTTTTTACGCGCATGTATTCAAAGTTGGAAAACAAAACATTATAATATTTAATCTTCTCTTAATAATGAAATCATGTATATTAATCTGTTAAAACAAACAAATTAAACAAGATATATATATATATACACATACATAATTTTCTTTGGAATGCTATACACTAATGAATGAAAACAAAATTCAAAACCTAAACAAATCCTGAAGTAGAAAAAGAATTATTTTTAAAGAGAACAAATATAAATGTTATATTGCATGCACTTAGAAAGCTTCAACTCTTTTATTTTTCCTTCAAATCCTAAAGCAAAATACACTTCTTTTTCTTCTTCTTCTTAACTTGCAATGCAGCTCTTGTTGCCATTTCAAATACTTCTCTTACACCATCTTTTGTTTTCGCTGAGCATTCAAGGTAACCAAAAGCATTAATTTTTTCGGCCATCGTACGACATTCTTCTGTCTTCACTGGCTCTTGCTTCATTTTACCCAGCTCTTTAATTGTGTTTGGATCATTTCTAAGATCTTTCTTGTTTCCCACCAGGACCAAGGGGACATTTGGACAGAAGTGTTTAACTTCAGGTGTCCACTTTTCCTGAATGTTCTCTAGACTATCCGGACTATCGATGCTGAAACACATCAAGATGACGTCGGTATCCGGATAGGACAGAGGACGGAGCCTATCATAATCTTCTTGGCCTGCAGTATCCCATAAGGCTAACTCTACCTAATGGTTAATACAAAAAAAAAAACACTTATGGTAAGGAGAGTTAAGCCAAATAACAAGTATACTTATGTATTCTATACAATCTGATAATAAAAAAAGTATGGATAAAAAATACAATACATATATACTAAGTCAAACCCATGAATATTTTGAAACCATACATTATACTGTTCCTTCACAAAAGAAAAAGTTGTTTAATTTCAAAAATATTATTTTTTATTGTTTATATTTACAAATTAAATTGAAAAGTAAACTTTATCATAAATAGCAAAGAAAAAATAATTCTTATACAAACATTATATTAAAGTATAGAGGACTGATATGACACAAATCATCAAGGCACATGACAATCCAAGTCTATGCAATGTTATGGTGGAATGGAATATATATGAACTAAGTTTTGTGGGCATTGGCAAAATTCTGTTAGTGATATTTTGAGCATATAACATTAATAGCAAATGGTGTATATATGACATAAAGCACGAGCAAGTCTTGTTCTAAGTTAAAAATCAAACAGCATATATTACCAAACATGCAGCTATAGTATAGAAAGGAAAACCTATGTTTTGTTTATCTTTTGTTACAGTTATATTACCATGTTTTGTGAAAAACCAAGGTAAGCTTCAGAAATAAAAAGTGGAGTGATGTACTTTATTTCACCATAAAATACACTCAGCAAAAACGTATACACACATGTGGCAATAGGGCAGGTTGGCTTAAATGCCCAGAAGCAAAGTGAATCTTAATGATTTCACCAAACTGGCAATATCGCATCTACCAGACGAGAGTGAAACAATCAACTATTGAAGTGTATTAGGATTTTTTTTTTCCACTGGTTAAAGGTTTTCTTTTTTTGATGATTGAAAAGCACATTGAATGCAACTATATTAGAAAATAATCAAATGTAATGCAGTTGTATCCATAATGCAAAGTGGAGACACGTGGCATGTATATGACCTGCTTATAAAAACAACTGTTGCCTGTAGATGCAATGGTATTTGAAATTGAAAATTTAAAGACATGACAGACATGTATTTGTTTTTATCTTTTTGGTGTTAAGTGACAGTTTAATATTACAAACTTTACAACAAAGCTTCAGAATATTACAATATACCAGCACAGGAGACTCGTATTGTGATAAACATATTATGACAGACAGTATTGCAATATACCAGTAATATCATGCAAACCTAATAGGCAATGGGGTGCCACCAAATATTTATTACTTATGAAAAGAGTTTGTAACAGTCCTTTCCATTGCAAAATATATATACCACTCAGATCATAAAGTTGTATTCACATCCTGGATTTAGAATTTCTAAGACAGGGATAGCCTTTGGACATTATTGCATATGTAAACAAATGAATATGAATCAACTTGGAGTAACAGGACCTTGCAGAAAGAGACCCGCAACAAGTCATATTCCAAACATGGTAAGCAAAGTGCCTCATTCTTCAAACACAAATATTAACTAAAAAAGTCATCATTATTATTTTATATTAGCCTCATACATCACATTCTGTCGTCTGGAAGAAACTGAGGTACGTATATGAATACGGGTATTAATATATTTTGCTTCTGTTTGGCAGAAGTGCAATGATAATACATACACAGATAAACACAAAAAGAAATATATATTTTGGAAATAATTTGGGGCAAAATAAAAATTAACTGATTATACAAATATGTTTTATCTAACAATGTATTTTCAACATAATCTTTCTTGTAAAAGTCAGGTTGTTTTAAATTACAAATCATAGATGTAAAAAGTTCAAATAAGATTTTGCAATTTTTCAAATAAAATTTTGTTTCACAAATAAATATCCAAATACCCTACTGCATATTGAAAAATCATTATAATAACAGTTAAACAATTTGGTATTAGTATTTAGCACTTTACTTATTACACTTTAATATATTAAACTATTCAGTCCTTCAAAAGGTTGTCCCTGTAGCAAGATTGGAGGCAGATAGGTATTTAATTAAAGAAATGGACAGCCAGCCACAAAGGGCCAATGGACCTCTGTTGTCCCTCAAATATTATGTTATTAAATTTGTTTCTTAGATTTTATGATGTAATAAGCATTCCTGATTATCTCTTTTCACACACTCACAATATGACAACAGACCTAGTAGGAAAAGAGCTTAATTTTCATACACCCAAAGACAATAAATTACAAAATGTAAAGTTAATGTGAAAGTGTAAAGACAGAGTCTATGAACACCATAAAAAAACAACTTAAATACCATATCTTCAGTGTAGTTTATACTTGTTTAATCTTCTTTCTAGTGCATACTTTAAATTTTCTTCAGTCTTGCACCGAAATATTTTGAAAACAGCCTTTTCTTAACTAGACCCTTGTTTCTTAACTTGTGGTCTGTGGGCCTCAAAGATTCCATGAACATTCTATAGAGATTCTGCGATGGTTACAAACAAAATACCACATTCAATTAAATGAAAGTGATGTTATGATTTAAAACTCCAATACCTTATTTACGATAGTGTCACTTTTGTAGTCTGTGGAATAAACTTCGGCAAATAAACTTATTCGAGCATAGTGTCAATAAAATTTTCTTTAGTTTAGAGGACATTCTACTACTAAATTAAAAGCTTCAGCATCATCTTGAATGTAAGATGTTTCATCTTCCTTCATTATCAGAATTAAATGAGATTGAACTTTAAGTCTGTAGCAAAAGCAAGTCTGCCAAAGGATGAGGAAAGCCTTGCAGAAATCTTTTTAATTCTGATACATCAATAACAGTGGATCAAAGAAATAGAACTTACAAAATGATCATTAGAAATGTTATTAAAAAAACAAACTTCTTGGCTATGGAAAAAGTGATGAGATTTTAAGTGAGGAATGATCTTGACCAGTTAATCAAAAAGCACATTCTCCTGTGTCTGGTGTCTTCCATGCTATTTATTTTTACCTAGGAACATGAAATATTGCATCAAGCAGTTTTTCATTAAACACATTACCAGTATCAAGTCGCACACCAATTTTCATTAATTAAATTAAATACTAAAGGAGCCAACTTCAATCACTCAATGCATATATTACTATAAAGTATGAAGTATCGACGTTGTAATAACTGAAAAAGTTTGATTATGTAACTTGGAAGTGGAAAAATAAACAATTGAGGTTTACTTTTTAAGGTTTAACTTTAACTATCGTTAGACTATGACTTTAAAAAAGTGTTACACACGTTTCAATTGTAGCTTGAAGTAGTAAAAATATTCAGGCTCAGGTTCCCTACTTTAATTTTAATTGAATCTTACCTGTTTTCCATCTACTTCGATATCTGCTACATAGTTTTCAAAAACTGTTGGTACATACACTTCTGGGAACTGATCTTTACTAAATACAATCAACAAACATGTTTTACCACATGCACCATCACCTACGATGACCAGCTTCTTCCTAATGGCCGCCATGTGTACTAAGTCTTGGGTTGAACAATAGCTTCTTATTCTAAAGTAGATTGAAATGAATGATTAATTCAGTACTTCACGCTTAAAATCTGAGACTTAGTATAAATTATTTATTATATATACAAACTTACGGTTATACCTACAAGTCGCATTAAATGTAAACATACACAGATAAATATAACTTTAATAATACATATAAATTGTTATTGTACAAACAATACCTAAGTACTAGATTACTAGAGCCCAACCCACGAATCACGACGGATTTAAGTTCACACAGAAGCAAATCTGTACTAGGGATTTTTTCTCCCTTCTCTCTAATTCTTCCTCCTAGCGGTGAACACACCCACCTCCGTTATTTTCCTTTTTGAACAATAGCTTTGTTTTAAATATTAGAACGAACTATGTTTAATAGCTTTGTTTGTTTTCGGATATTCGCGCAAAACCACTCCAAGGCTATCTGCGTTAACCTCCCATATGAACAATAGCAAAGATAAATATTTTAATATAGGTGTATTATATATGTTATTATATTTGTAAGCACTAAAATATAAAATAAATATGCAAGCTGTAATTATTTTTCGTGATCCGAGTGACGAATTGTTTCCAATTCATTTTTTCAAAGCAACATAACGTCCAGACAAAAATCCATGCTATTAGATTCTTATTATAAACGTAAATACGTTGAATAAAATCGATAATAACAATCAACAAGTTGTTTTTAGTTCTAAAGTATTTGTCTAGTTTAATAGTCATTAGTATATAAATTATTTTGCCATCCAATAAAACACATGATCTAGAAAATTATTTTATATATCTGTGAATAGATTAAACCCATCATTTTTGAAAACAACAACAAAAATACTCCAACAAACCTTACAACTCTACAGCACTTATAACTTTAAAAAGTCTGTACATTAAATGTACATACAAAAATAAAATAAAAACCAAAAACTTATCGGTGAAAAGAAAACAACCAGAACTGTTATTATCAAACTTATTCAAATAAAATTGTTCTTATAAAGACTTCTGTTAAGAAAATTTAATATTGTTGTACAATCTAAATGACAGCTAGTAATTATTGTTTATCATTAGGGTAGTCAAGGCAGCATTTATAAAAAATATGGTGTAAGAAATAAATCACGTAACAAACAGGCAACAGGTATTTTAAGGGTAATTTGGCCCCGCTGACTACGAGAAAATGCTGTTGCCAAGACAGATTTTCAACCAGGAGACAAAAAATTCAAGATGGTTGTAAAAATCCATTAATTGTGATTTTTCTGGTTCTGGATCAATTAGACTTGAAGTTTTAAAAAAATTTTGAGGCCTAGAAATTCAATGGGATATGTTTTGAAAGTGGTTGAATTTTATTTTACAAAGTGGTAACAAAATATTAGCAGGAAATGCTGAACATTTG